TACTCTGAAACGGTTAGCGGCGCTTTGACGTACGAAGCTGCCGGTATAATGTGTTGCTTTACAGCAAAAGTACGGAAAATGAAAACTGGAGTGAAGACAGGAAGAAAGACAAGAAGGAAGGCAAAAGTAAAGACAGAGGGGAAGGCAGGAAGTAAGACAAGAAAGAAGACAAGGAATGAGGTAAAAAGAAATAGAGGAAAGAGAAGAAAAGAAAGAGGGATGAAAGAGAAGAAAAGAAAGAAGATAAGAGGAAAAAGAAGATTGATTCAAATAATGAATAGGGAAAAAAGAAACAGAAGAAAGAGAAGAAAGAAAACGAGGAAAGACTATTTCGGCTTAGATAGTTATGATTTCATCTTAATCGGCTCTGGTATAGCTGAATCAGTTGAAATTAACATCTGCTTGATCAAGCAAGAGTCCCCATATGTTATATATGTTGAGGGTATTCCATTTGAAGTAGAATTCACATGCGATGTTGTTATTCCATGTGAAGCAATTGGCACAAATGACATATTCCCGGCAAATATGCCATTTAAGGCAGATGACATGTTAGCTGTTGATATTTCATCCAATGCGGATGTCTTTGATAGCATGTTGGCTACAGATACTCAAATCGATGCTGGCAGTGCAGTTGATAAAGTTTTCAGGATTAATCAGGAACTCAAATACGATGCGGAGATCGCAGAGGGCTTGTTGGTCGCGGATACGTTATCTTATAAAGATATACCATTAAACGTTGATGCCGACCTCATAGATAATGAGAACGTGACAATTAATGAAAATATCTTGTTTCATGAGGATACCACATATTGATCTGATGGTGCGGTTTTTGTTGATCAGTACATTCCTGATTGGCATACTCAATGCATTGACAAGTTTTTTGCGTCTAACGTAAGTAGCATTGATGATAGTAACAGCTGTTTGCAAATGGAGGTTTATCAGGGTGACTTAGACGACGCAGACTTAAAATTCGGAATAACGACACTTTGCGGCAATATGACATGTGAGTACACTGGAAGTAAGCGGGACCAATTAGATAAAATTCATCGATTTATCAGAAGACGGCTCCTACTGACCAGAAACTGATGCTAATGATGATGATGATACTCAAAATCTCCACCCAATAGCTATAATAAGTAACCAAATATTGAAAATCTTGAGTGAGAACGGTGCGTGTTCGCAATTTGTGTCTGTTGAAGATGTTGTGATGTTTGTTTGGAGCCCCTCCCCCCTGTCGCTGATGGAACGAAGATCAATGATGGTGTTTATCGAATTCAACAGTCGTGGCATCATAGAGCTCGAATGAAAGTGGTGCATCTGGAACGGCTGGCACCTTATTGCAACGATTTGGCAATACCTGTTCGGGACGAACAGATTTAAGAGGAGGGCAATGTTAAGAATTTGATCAGATTAACAATGGAATGTTTAAATATTATTTAATCATTATGTCAATTGATATTTTATTAAAAAATGAAGGGAATTTGTTTTGAGTGAAGCTGTGTTTTCCTAAATTTGCTAATAATAAAGTATAGTTTCTCTAATTAAGATGTTTGTTTCATTTTTACAAAATCCTGTGATCCGAACATACAGGCGATTATGAAACAATATTTTTATAATATTTATTCTGCTCATTTTTGTAACTCGTCAAAACTTAAAATTATCACTCACCATTTTATTCCACTCCATTGCCTTTTCTTTAGGTATTCATTCCAATGATTCCAATATTTTAAATGATTCCCTCGTTGATTCCGCGATGTTCTTTCGTACGTCCCACGTTACACGTCTTGAGTCCTAAAATTGTACAAAACGTTACCGGCTGCACCAAATTATGTTGCGTATTTTCCGCAACGAAGGCAAATTCTGTTGTGTTTACGTAAGTAGGAACCACCTGCGTCAAACCCAATTATTTCAATTGTTCCCTAACAGTCCATCCAACAAAAATAAACACGCATTTTTAATTTTCACACATCTATCTTTATTAATTATAAACTAAACTGCTGGAACTGCTGCTACCGCCGTTGTTGATATGTCTGTTGCTAACTTGTTTGTTGCTATTGTGGGTGCTACTGTTGCTGATGTTGTTGTTGCTGTTGCTATTGATGATGTTGTTGTAACTGTGATGCTGATGCAACCTCCGTGCATGATGATTATCGCCTTAATGTGATTCAACTTCACTTTTTATTCATATATTACTTATTACTTATTCTTGTAATTTCAACAATTCTTAATAATTTTATTCGATTACAGATATTCGTCAAAATTCTTTAAACACTAAACTGTTAAATAAAGCACAAGTCAAATTAGGGAATTAAATGTTCTTTCATTAATAAATAAGTTCCTTCTTTTACATCGAACAACCAGTTCGGACAACACTTTGATCACTTTAACGCTCAACAATCTACTCGGTGTTCCGTCTAGGAAACCCGAACTCAGCTGCTTTTGCAGCTACTACTCGGACACCAATCTAACAACTGACTGGTTAAAAACTTCCCCCCCATGTTTTCACCTTTGGAAAACAGTGAAAACGTTGATCATGTGCTTAATGCATGATCGAAGGTTCCATTAATTTCCTGCCGTTACGCAGAAAATATTATATTAAATATTGACCCAGTTATCGGTTGGTAACTGCCAATATTTCGAAACACACAATTCTGCATAAAGAATATTATTGAGTTCATTGATTTAACTCAATAATATTTTGCAACTGCTAATAAAAATGCAGTTTCACATATTTCGAAAGTTGCGATTAATGGTTTAACTCAATAATATTTTGAAATGAACGCATCCGCGTTGTATGCAGAGTTTGTTAAAAATGAAATGGGTCGTATTAGCAATCTGCCTTACGTACCAAGAAAAAGGTTCGTAACTAATTTTTAATTAAAATTCAAAGGCATCTAGTTAAAACTAGTTACACCACAGGTGTCCTTATATCGCTCACTTTTCTAAAGGCAAAATACAAAAACTTCCAATCTGTATGAATGACAAAATACAATACCAATAGCTAAGTAATTATCATTTAAATACTCTTGAGGGACCGCACCGCTGCAACAACAAATATATCAGTCAAAATAATGAACTCTGCAAAATTTTACTACAACAGAACAACCGTTCGGCAAACTCTATTGTAAAACCAACTTGTCACAGAAGATGGAAAACTACTTGCAAGTGTTTGAGTAGTATTACGTTAATGAAATATTATGAAACTTTATTCCGATTTACTTTAGAAAAATGTCATAAAGATTGATTTAACATGATATCGTGGACAAGTGGTATAAGGCAGCTATCTGGTTTCATTAGTGCATTCAACATGTGATAGACCCATATGACAGCTAACTAACATCATTCTTCTGCACTATATGAAAAGGCCTGGTGAAACTAATATAGCTGACACATTCTCGTTCCAACCACATACTGAATTTTCTTCTAAGTTTTAGTTAGCCTGAACTCAACTGTATCCACACGTTTTCGTTCGTTGGTAATGCTGAGGTATACTTAGCCTGGAGATTAGAAGTGTTATGCTGGGTTACAGCCTTGATTAGCATTTATTAATGTAAGGACGTATTACTACCCTAAGTCAATCCTACAGAAAATACTACTAGTCAAGATGTGTCATGACTACCTTGGCTTGATTTACATATAAGACTACATATACAATCTACTAATGAAGATGTATATAACTACCTTGACGTGATACAAGACTACTAGTCAAGATGAATGTAACTACCTTGCCTATAGTTAAACTAACTTGTATCGCAAAAACGTATTACTACGTTTGCGAGTTTCCTAACAAGTGCTCTTGCTTGTACAATGCGCGTTTATTTATACTCAAACGACCGAAGCATTTCCTGTAGCGCATCGATACTTTTGCCGTTGGTGTTTTTGATACTTGTTGTCTTTTGCTGCTGTTGTTCGCCTGGGTGTAATTTCTGTACTTTGTCTTTGTCGTGTGTTCTTGAATTCGCCGTGCTTTGTATTTAATTCAACCAAAACTTTCATGCCTTGAAGTTTCTTGTCTTGTTTACAAACGTGTTTTTTATATAATGCCGGTGTTTGTTATTTTAATATTATTATTTATTTATTTATGAATAATAAAAAACAAATTAAAAAAACAAACAAAAGAAAATAAAATAAATATATAAATAGTAAATAAAAAAGGTGTGTATTCTTCACTTATTCAAATACATTTCTTTATTTTTTTGTTAATTGTAATAATAATTTCAGATGTATTCCGTGTGTTACCGATGCAGATGCAGTGCGTTACTTGTGAGTTATTTTAATATAATATATATATTAAATAAAATTAATCTATTTTATGTTAGATAATATTAAAATTCTTACAGTGACTGAAATTAAATTATACGTTGCGTGTTAAACATAGTGTATTGTGATGTGTAACTAAAATGTCTTTTAAAGTTACTAGTATAGTGTTGTTGTTGTTTCTTGTTTAGATTGCATCTATGTAGGTTGGAAATATGTGAGAATTTCCTTCCTTACACAACTTATCATCGCGGCCCTACGAAAATGGTAATACCAATAATCGGAAAACAGTAATCAGCCCAGATAACTACTCCTTTTCGATTGTAAACTCTCATGGTATCTTTCCGATACTTAAGTAACAATGACGCATACTCTGACTTTGCTGCTTATTACGGTGAGCACTTAAATGTTGACCGCTAAAATATCCTCCAAGGTGTTAATGTGGAAAACTAAGAGTTACAGGATGTTTAATCAAGTGTCAAGCTTTTTGTACGCGACCTTTTGCCCGGCATAACCGAAGTAATATAAAGTTAAAGTGAATTTTTAACAACGTATATATTTAAATCTATAAAACTAAGAATTTTTAAGAAATGAAACATATTCTATTTCTGTATGATTAAAAGTATTATATCTGTATAACTTCGATCTTTATTTAACAAAAACTCCTAGTTATTATTATTTCACAAGTAACAAAACTAACATGTGGATTCTTCTTTATATGCCGAATCTCCAATGCGGTGATTCTAGGATCTAAATCGGTCAATAGGATATCCAGTACGCCTTGGTCGGGTATACGGAACAACTGCCTCATTGTGCTTCTCAGTTTGATGAATTGCAATCTCGGATACTTCATTGAAAGATTGAGCTGGAGTCGAAACTATGTATTTGTTAGTTATTTTGACTACATCTTTAGGTGTTGTTTCGTAGAGGCCGAATGCATCAGCTAAACACTTTTCGTTGGCGATATCTTCGGAAGTACGTATTTCTGATGATAACTCATTTTTATGATCTTTTCGGTAACGAGTTTGGTTGGCATGTGCACGAATAAGTTTGCCATTTTGTAAGCGAACATTGTAAATGACATTACCTATGCGTTCAATTATTTTTCCTTTTGTCCATTCAAAGTGTTTCTTTTTTTATATATATTGACATAAACGAGCTCGTGTCTTTCGTAAAACTTTGGCTTTGCACCGTGCCTTTTGTCAAACTGCGCTTTCATTTTGAGTTGTGTATCGCACTTGTTTTTAAGCGTGGCATTTGGGTCTGGTAAAGACACCAGCGTTGGTTTAATCAAGTCAAGTTTAACACGGATATTTCTTTTTAGTAAAACTTCAGCTGGCGATATACTGTCCTCATTTTGCGTATTCGGAGTTGATTGGTAAACTTGTAGAAATATTTGAAGATTTTCAGCAGTTACCCCCTTCCCATTTAACTTTTTGAGTGCTCGCTTTAAAGTATCCACAAACCTTTCGGCTTGTCCATTTGACATGGGTTAGTACAGACTGCTTCGTATATGATTAATGCCGTTTTCCGCTAAAAACTGTTGAAATTGATGACTTACAAATTGAGTACCATTGTCTGAAACTATTGTCTTCGGTAACCCAAATCTAGCGAAAATTTCTTTCAAGCTGGAAATTGTTTGAGTAGCTGTTAAAGATTTTGTTTGTATAATTTCGAGCCATTTTGAGAACGCATCGATTACGACTAAATAGTAGTATGAATCTATTGGTCCTGCATAATCAATATGGAGCCATACCCAAGAATCAGAAGGTTTTGGCCAAGGATGTAAAGTTGTTTTTGTGGGCATTTTAGCTGCTGCTGCACAATTTGAACAACTTTTCGCCATTGCTTCAATATCGTAATCGATATTTGACCAATAAACGTAGTTCCGCGCGATGGCTTTAGTATGGTTTGATGACCTCGGTGAATTTCTTTAGGAATGCGCTTTTGGAAAATTTGAGGTATAATAATGCGTTGTCCGAACATTAAACATCCGTCAACTATACATATGTCGTTTCTTCAGTTACAGTAAGCTTTCAACTCATTGTTGTTGCAGTTTGATGGCCATCCTTCAGTTACATATTTGAAAATTTTAGCTAAAACCTTGTTCTTAGCTGTTTCGTTAGTAATCATTTTGCTGGTAAGAGGCTGATTTTTGCCAAAATATCCTCTGGAAGCGGTAGTGGATACTTGTAAGATTCAAGCGCGTCGTTAAGACCAGTTGAGAAATCAGCGCAAATACGAATGCTGCCATTTGGCTTTTTGATAACTACGATTGGTGCGGTCAGAGTAATTGATAGGTGCGATAATGTCGAGATCTTAAATGTGCCTTAGTTTTATTACAAAAACCCATAGCATTCTCGAAAAGTTCTGGAAATAATTTTTCCGGAAGACATTTGCAATTTGAAGAGTTTATGGGAACATTACTTGCCTGTTTTGTTGTTGAAATTTGGCTGCAAATAGCATTAAGCGTCATATCGCTAAGTTGAAAAGCAGTTATCCAGTCCAATCCGAATACGTTCAAATCGATCGCTCAAACGAATCACGTAAGTGTTCTAATTGTGTCTTTTAACTGCACATCGCATGTAAATTTTGCGTACAATGGTAAGTTTCCAGTTGCACTTTTAGCTGATTCTCGTTGTACTTCCATTGTATTTAAAATATTTAATTTGTCGAAATTAAATTTTAAAATGATAGTTATGTCCGATGCAATATCAAATTGCAATTTGATTAGCACATTGTTGATTTTAACGTGGACATATTTGCGCTGTGCAGCTGTGATGTTGTTCGTTGTGTATATACTGTTGGATCGTGATTGTGAAAATGCTCTTGCCTTACCATTGCTATTATTTTTGATGTTGTTATCGCAGTTTGATTTTGCTGAATTTTTCGCTTTGCAATAACCTTTTTATGGCCTATGTTGTGACAGTCTTCGCATTTATGATATTTGAATGGGCAGTCACGCACATAATGCATTGCTCCACAAAACCAGCATAGTGTTTTCGGTTTGTGATTGTTCTTAAGCTTATTTGCTTGTAATCGATTAACCTGATTTTCGCGTGATTTATTTTCTACCAGCGCTATGTCGGATTTTATATTAATGATACGCTGACACTCGTTTGTAAGTTTCTCCAAGTTAATGGTATTAGCTTCTGTGTCCAGTTTGGTCAATATTCGGGTTCCTATTTCGAAGTTTGCTTCTGATTTCAGCCCCAATACGAACATTAAACATTTGAACTGGTCCAGTGACAGGCTATTCAATTTAAAATTTTCATAGTGTTTATTAACCTCGGCTGCGTACGTAGTATAGTCGGTATCTGTTGGTTTGGTTAACTGTAAACAGCTATAGCGTAAGCTGAATTGTGACTTTTGGAGTCCAAACAGTTGTTTTAATTTCTCCACTGTTGTAGTGAAATTATATTCACGTGGACGGTTAGGCAAAATAAAGTTCATATATTTGTTATATACAGTTGTACTGAGTTTCCTTAATAGAAGCCTGACCTTCGCTACGTCATCAAGTTTGCTAGCATCTACCAAGAATAAATCTTCATACCTCGTGTACCACGTTTCAAATGTTAGGTTATTTTCTGGATCATAAACAAATTCCGTGATACTCCAAGCTAAAATCTCCATTGTTTGCTCCGGTTTTTCTGTTTTCGGAAATGCTTCAATATGCATCTTCATTTGCAAACACTCCTTGAAAAGCTCACGCATTGTTTCCGTGTCTTTCGCATGTTGGTTTTGCATTTCTTGAAAAAATACCTGGAATTTTTCTATGTAATGCAAAAAAAATTCGTATCCTCGTCGCCACTATTATATCTGTATAATTTCGATCTTTATTTATCAAAAACTCCTAGTTATTATTATTTCACAAGTAACAAAACTAACATGTGGATTCGTCTTTATACGTCATCTGTCATCACTGGCCTGGGTTGCCAACAAAAAGCAACAGATTTTTGTTATTAACGTACACATTGTGGCGTCTACGAACACCTCGTTTGAACGTATGAGTAGTTGAAACAAAAAATGTAAATAATTAGTTTGAACAAAGACGTATGAACAGTTGAAACAAAAAATGTTAATATTGTATATATGTAGTTAAATAAAGAAACACATCCTTCTGGAGTCTGACCGAATCACACAAGTGGTGACCCCGAGGTTGAACAAACAGTTGTTATAACAACCAATGAAAAGATATTTTCAAATAGAAAGTGATAATAATAATAAAAAAATCATTTTGATGGCTACGCTACTTAATTGAATAGTTTTTTAGTTGAAATCAAACTATGGAAGACAACGCACAGTTGGCTAATGAGGCGCAGTAAAAGGAAGAAATTGCAAGAGTAGCGGTGAAGATACCTCCATTCTGGCGAGCGGATCCAGCCTTGTGGTTTAAGCAAATTGAATCGCAATTTGGGATTGCGGGAGGAACGCAAGACTCAACGAAGTTCCATACAGTGGTAGCATCCATGGAAAGCAGTGTTTTGTCGAAAATAAGTGATATTATTATCAACACTCCAACAACAAACATGTGCAGTCTGTTTGTGAAAAGGCGGTGACAAGAAACCGATGGAGATTTTAAATAAAATGCGAACACTATCCCAAGGTAAGGTTTCAGAAGAACTGTTAAAACAACTGTGGATGCAACGTCTACCTTCAAGCAATTTTATCTGTAAGTGAAGATAACTTAGATAAACTATCAGTTATGGCAGATAAAATATATGATACAACAGATGTGACTGAAATTAATGCATGTACTACACAACCAACATTGGATATGCAATCATTAGAAAAAAAAATAGAAGAATTAACGCAACAAGTGTCATCGTTGGTAAGATCCAGATCTCAATTACGTCGTAGGTGATACAACAAACAGTCACGTTCTGCAAGCAGAAGCAAACCATTTTATTGGTATCACTTCAAATTTGAGAAAGAAGCGAAAAAATGCGTATAACCGTGCACCTTCGTAAAAAGTGAACATTCAAAAAACTAAGAGGCTCTTCATCTTTGGTGACGGATGAGCTTTGCCCAGAAATTAGTCGCCTGTTAATTTATGATAAAAAAAAAGAACAAAAATCAGGTTCCTAATTAACACAGAAGCAGACGTGTCAGTTTTTCCGGCGTCAAAAGCGGAAAAACTAGACACTCCTATGGCTCAAACTTTATATGTAGCGAATCAGACACCAATTAAAACATTTTTTTTTTATATTTTATATATAATTTATATATAATTGTATTCTATACAAAACTAATTCGATATTTT